AAAGAAAAAACGCATAATTAAGGATATTCTTTATATTTTTTTGTACTCTAGAAATAAAATACTTCTTCCATGGTGTGTGCTGAAACCGAAAACAGCAGAAACAAGGCGACTAGTATATCTATGCGATCTTGTCGTTAGTTGAGGAGAACAAAACATAAATAGGAAGAATGTAAATTTTCCTAGTGCAGAGATTTTTCTTTCTTTCTTCTAAACATAGTACTGTACCCTGTCAGTTAATAATAGTACGTTGTTTCTTCTCTTCTGTTACTTCCTTAAAATAGTAAATCATTTTTCATTTTCAACCAAATATTTATTGCGTGGCTTGCTTTTTTTTATTCCTAGTCCGAACAACAGCAAGTGTTCTTCATTATGGCAGAAAAATTTTCGTTTATTTGTACATTTTTATTGGCTCTCCCATTGTTAAGTGTTCAAATTTATTAAGTTCCGAAATAGAAAATGGAGGAATTTTTATTTTGAGCTGAGCTAGACGGAAAGATTGAAGACGTTTATATATGCTGATACTCTGAAGTAGTTTCGAGCGGTTTTGACTGAGTTAGGACTTTTTAGTTTCCCATACAAATACGCAAAAATGGATTATTTCATTTAGTACAGGCGCTTATCGACTTTAGAGGAGAAAGTAATGATTCGGACTCCGCTTGAGACGGTCTGCACATATTATCCGTTTAAAACAAGAGGAAGCAGATTTTCATTAAGAAACAACAATGTCATTTCAGTCGTTTAATGTCCTACGGAAACAGGGATATTATTCTGCAAAAGTTTGTGTAAGAGACCACTTGACTACTAGCACCAGTTTGACCATCAGACTGACAGTAACTGTGGCCAGTGATCACTTAGCATTAAATGTGTTGAACTAATACACTTATCAATAAAGAAAAAGTTGTTGACCATTTTCAACAAATTTTCGAAGATGTATTAAGCCAGCTTTGATGCATTTATTGTGAATTTCATTCGCTTATCTAATACTTCTGTTTGTAACCAATTATAAGACAAGTCAAGTAATATGCGTTTGATTGTTACTATGACTTTTTCTAGATTCACGCGTCTAATACTGTTATTTTGTCTGCTTCAGTCGAGTTCCAAAATCGTAGGATAGATGAATAATTTGCTCAAGTTAACTCGCTCGTCATTTCGCCGTCTACATAGCACTGATATGCGATGATTATAATCGCGATTGTGTGCATACAAAATCGCTTTGTATTCAACAAAAAGTTGGGGCATGAGTGCTCATGTTCTTCTACATTCTATTAGTAAAATATTGAGTGAGAACAAACAGAGTAACTTTAACTGAGGACACGTGACATTGCGATAGAAAAAAAATAAGATTTATGTATAAGATCCGTTTATTAGATAAAAATAACCACTGTCGATAATAATAAAGGTATACTGGATAACTTCCACCCAATTTACTTACAGTGGTTTTAACAATAGTGTATTCGACTTATCATCGTTAGGAAGTAATTCAATTTGTTTGATTACAGTTGCTTTAGTACCTGATGCAACGACAACAGGCATATTTCTAAATAAGATAAATGTCAGTACAGGATATAGTTGACGAAATGTCACATATAGAATAATTGATACTGTAAATAATGATAATGTAGTTTCCTTAGATGAATTTAATATTGTTGTTGTTAAACTCATATGAATTTGTAATGGTATCTGATAGATAAAATGCCATAACACATAAATACTTGAATTAATAATAAGTTTTTTCAATGGGTTACCTTTCCTACATAGCTTGTGCTTTTGTTGGCAGTATATACGATGTAGAAGAATAATTGTTGAAATTATCATAGAAAATCCTGGTAAATACAAAACAACTACTAAATAAAGATACATTAATGTTTTATTAGTCATATAACATGGTTCACAATTAGAAATTGGCTGACATTGTGGTAAATATTGTAACGGAAAGAGAAAAACGGCGCTAAGCATTAAAATTAGAATAAATGGTATTAACTGACGTTGTAATGTTAATAGGCCATTTTTTCGGAACAAAATGTAGTGTCTTTCAACAACAACATAGAGTAATAGATAAGACATATTCATTGAACATATATTTGATATAATGGTGTACAATGAACATTTGTATCGAGATGCTGAAAACCATGACACGAAAAATTCAGATAAAATTAATGGTGCAACAGTTACATTGGTTAACAAACAATAGAATAAATTCCAATAAAAAATGTATGTAAAATGTGTACGAAGAGAATTATTTATAAAATACTGACGTATATCGTATGTAGCAAAACAAGTTCCAACTAACGCTGACATCGTAAATATCACTACATATGCAATATTGTATGAAAATATACTTTCATTATTTGCACCATTGCTACTCTTATTGTTCATGATAGTGTCTTCATAAATTACTGACAACAACCACTTCAGCTGCTTTATCTCTTTGTTAAATTAGAATTTGAGTATTTATAAGGAGATGGATGAATGTAGTACTTCTCTTTGCAGTACGCCTACTTGACAGAAATGAAAAAGAACACGATAAAGAAAAAGAAAAGAAGAAATCTCTCACCATTCTATTAATTACGTGTACTTAGAAAATAATACACTTGAATAAAACTGATTTCTGTTTTTAGAAAAAATATTCATCCTACGAATATGCCGCGGGGTCTGACAGACACAAAAAAAGAGTTTAGACCAAGCATGTTTGGTAAGGGTTGACAACGTGGTTTAGACCACTGTGTAAGTCACACTAATTACAGCGTACAAGTCATGATCGATCATACGTTCGAGTGACAAGGTTTTTCATTTTTCTTAGAAATGAACTTCATTTTTTCTAATCTATGAGATAATTTATAAGTAGCGGCTTAGTCGAAAGAGGTTGTTATCTAGCCTTTCCAATAGTACAGTTGATAACACGAACATTGGAAGAGCTTGACGACGTAAAACAACTAACAAAAAGCTAATTTTCTAAACTTTAAAGCATATGGTAATGATTTATGACACGCCGATCCTTTATGTCAGTTAATAATATTCAGGTGGATGATTGATTATAAGCGAAGGAAAAACATTTCATTTCTGTTTTTCACTCATTCTTCTGAAGTACATAGAAAATAATTAGCAGAATCAATCAAAAAAATTAGCTATAGGCAGCATATTATATTTACGGAGCAAATAAAAGTGACAACAATAAAATTGAGGAAAACGAGTTCTAGATGCAGACAAAATGAATTCACGTTTTTATATACATCTATGAACAGATTATAGCGGATAAATCACGAACGAAAAAAGAAAGAAGTTATGTTATGAACGAAAACTGGAATGTGGAAATAGAAAGTAAAGAGTAGAAACGAAAAGTGGAAAGCAAAATTGGGATTAAAAAGAACGAAACTTCTGTTTTACTTTCCTTCGTTCTGATTAGGTGACCCACACACATCCAGCGGAAAATTGATGTAAATTTTAATTGTTATCTAAATCACATTCATTTACAGGCGAGGATATAGTGAATATTTTCTCCTAACCATAAGTTTTTAGATCTTCGTCATAGAATACACTAGATGGTATCATATGATATATGTGGACATCTATACAGTTAGTGTTTTTGTTTTATATCTCAGATGCATATACGATAACAAGGAGCTTTACAAATGCAACAGTGATAGCTTTTCGTAAGGCGTTGAAGTTTTTACAGAAATCTATCCGAGAACTTGATGAATATGCAGTGCAAGGACATACTTCTATATAGTCAAAATGGTTGCATATAATGACCGATTTTCGATAATTTCCAAGTTACAGTGCTTTTTTTGTATCTAAACGAATTAGTACAAGATTTCTGAAAGCATATTAGAAAAGAGCGAGGAACTTCGGCTATATCTGGTAAGTTTTTAAGATTAAGAATATGTTTGTCTTGAGGCTGTAAGTCAAATTCTCAATAATGGCTTGAGATAACACTGAATAGAAAAGCACTTTTTTTCTCGTTCAAAACACTTTTTTCAAGCAAAATGAACCTGATATTTCGAATCAGCATCAAATTCTGCAGCGAATAATGCATGTTTCAATAAAATCCGAGAAAAAAATGTTGATAATGCGATGCCGTTTCTGGCTATATCATTTTTTCTTCGAAATTGTTTGGGCCGGCAACATGTTTTACCTGCCCGCATACTGGAATCAAATCAAAACGTTTTAATTGATTGACTTTGATAGGTTGTGGATGATCGAAAGTGAATTCCTATCATATATTCCAAATACAATATTTGGTTGTTGTTGTAGTTCATCGATGTTTTCCGAAAAATAATTTGTCAATATTTTATGCAGTAAAGATAAATCATGGGCGAAAAATTGAAAAAGTTCTCCTTATGCTTTATGATATTCTGATAATGCTGTTTGTTCCGTAAAGTTCGAAAAATTACCTGCTGAATAATTCTGAAATTATATAGATTTCAGTCAGTCGATAGGATAATAGGAGCATATCTAATGAATAGAGGAGTTTCCCTATGGTACTCATTGTATTGTTCCAGGAGAATAAAAACGAATACATCCCTTTCGCGCTGACTTTCATTAAGAAAGTACGCGAAATGTGCGCACATTTTATAAACACACGTGACTGTCGATAATTTCTGTTGCTGATTATGAATTTGTATTCCATTTCCAATATCTTTAGAAGCCCTATCTGAGGACACCGAATGAGAAAAGATTTTTAGAATTTTGCACGCTATCTTGATATCAGATTCACGCGTTGTCGGGTGCCTTAACTTGTAGCCAAACTGTTCTAGAAATTATGTTATATATGCTATAGATCGAGTGGTGTTAGGCGTAGTAACTAATCAATATGGTAATATTTAATCACCGTTTTATTTATGTTTATTCTTTTACACTATGCATAACTATGCATTCACTTTTCTAAACAGATGGTTCAAAGCGTTTAGGATGAAAGTGACGTTATATTGTACGTATGTTAGGATTCTAGCGACTAAATGCATTATACAATCATCGATTTTCTTTATTGCAAAAATCAATATTTACGTGTTGGACGCTTTCAAACCACCACGTTTGTTAATTATTCTAAAAAGTTCATATCGAAATATTTGACCAGATAGAGTAAATACGTAAAAACTAGACGCATGATTAATATAAGATATTGACCGTACTAATTGCAAAACAAAATTATTTTGTGCTAGTGTTAGAGAAGTTTTAGGCGAATTAATTGTATATGTTGAATATAGTTTTTGAATAGAATGGGGTAATGTAGTAATAACAATAGAAACAACTTGGAACACCAGCATTACAATGAGTTGTTGATCTCTTCGACGAAGGTTACGAATGGTTGCTGTTGTTGGATCAACTTGATATCGACTTTTGAGAACATTTCTGACGATTAGAATGCTGAATATAGTCATAACAAACGGCGGAATAAGCGTGTAACACGTTAAATAGAAAAAATCAGCAAATATACGATAAAAACCTCTTTGTGCATAACATGAAGGTAACAAACGATTATATTGATCGAGAGTTAATTCAATATTAAAATAGACGAGGACGTGAACAAAGATGAGAAGGCAGAGGATAGTTGTGATTATAATAACAGTATAAGCGATTTTCAATTGATTAAAGTGACGAATTTTTGGATGTTGACTACTCGATGCAAATCTATCGATGCATGCGAGAGCAATGAACGTCGAAGATAAAGTACGTGCTGTATATGGAATGTAATAACGTAATTTACAATATGTATTTGAATAGATCCATGGAATCGTATGAAAACCATCGTACAAAATTCGATTTGGCATATCTAACCAAATAACAAAAGCATTGGCAATTGAAGAAGCAAGGAAATATGCCGAAATAGAATAGCCTCTCAGAGAAGGACGGGTGAAAATCATGATGTTTAATACAATGCCTATTGAACCAAGTATAATCAGTGGCATTGGAAAATAACGAATTAGCTGCTGAGAGACATAATTCAGCTGAATAACAGTTGTATTGGTCGACATTTTAGTCTTTTAAGACAATGATTACAATGGTTAAGTTATGTCTTCGTCTATGTTTCAAATTTTCTTATATTCTGTTTGTAATTTCACCCACGTTTAATAGAAGCCGTCAAAAGTAATGATATGTGCCGAAGGTAGATGTAGATTGTATTCTACGTGAGGAAAAACGGATGCCTAGAACCGTAGAATGTATTTTTCTACGCGTAGATATAGATCAGTATTTGTCCTTTCTTTTTCTCTTATTTTGCAACAGAATGGAAAAACTTTCATTTTCTATTATCAGTTGCACAATCCAATTTAATCTGAAACTGAATTATATGTTTTCCCTAATGAACGAAATAAAAGAAGAAATTCTATCTTATAAATGTTGATCTACTCTAAGAGAAATTTTTCTATTTAATGAATAAAATAGGAAAAGATCAAATTTGACATTTTCATCAAATGTTGAATTTTTATATATATGCAAACGAGTGCTCACAGCAAAATTATTTCATAATCTGTCAACTTTGCGAATTTAAAGTACACTGATTAGAGAAGACTCACCCATGTCGCAGGTTTTTTCATATTACCGCCGATTTCCGACCGGTCAATATATTACCTTCGCTAAACCGTACCGTTCGGTACATCGACTGGTTTAACGACGTTTTCTGTTGTACCGCTGGTTACCTATGGTTTTTATTGATATCGCGATGTGAGCAATAAACCGATTGGTTTGAAAATGAAACAATGACAGGCCATCTATCGAATGAATCTGCACAAGTCGACAATCTTGAGATCATTTCTGACAGATTCTTGATTTCAGGACTTTCTTCCTGAGAAAGTCATTTTTTTCAGATTTTCAGTCAGAATCTGAGAAAAACAATTCATTTTCTTTCTTTGCGTTCTCTCACGGTATTGAACTTATATTTTTTGCGTAGTAATTTTAGAAATTTTAAAGTACTGAAGTAAATAAAAAGCAGAAACTTCGATACATAGAGAACTACAGCATTTATGTGTTTTCGTAACTGCATTTGTTTTACTTATTCTTCGTAAAAGAAGAAGTTGTTAAAAATGCCTCTTTACTTATTTCTTATTTTCATCATTTTGTTGTTCTGCGACCGGTTTCACAAAAAAACGCAAGTCTGACTTAAGTCAAAAAAAGACAAAGAACTTTTTTGACTTAAGTTAAAGATAAGTACGATTTTGTACTTATTTTTTGTAAGTAATTTTGTGAAACAAGCCCCTGATTTTTTTCTGTTTTAGATTGTTTTTTTCATCAAATTCACATGGCAGATGAAGATATTAGTTTGGATTTCCTTAATAAGCAAGCAAGCACTATTATTCAAAACTACTCAAGTAGGTAAAACTTTCTTTTTGCTTTTACTAACTTTAATCGTTTTTTGCCCTTTCTCTTAGAACGTGATGTACGTAATCTTCGACGACGTGCTCGAAGAGCTGAAGTACGAACTAATCAACTGAGTTTTTCATTCGAAATTAAGCTTCAAGCTGAGGACGAATCCTCAAGCAATGTGAGTGTACTTAAATTTGACATTCAGCACTATACCTTGTCTGTTTTTTTCTCTGATTTTAGAATGAAACAGATAATGAAGATCAACAATCTTACAATGAATTGGTTGAATTTAACAAAATGACAGAATTTGATTTACTACCTTTTGAACATGATCGTAAGCAGAACGCCTCATTTTATTTTAGTTACTTCTTCGAATCGCGCAAATTTGCCAATCCTTTCTAGCCGGGTTTTATCTTTTGATCTAAAGAACCTGTTTTATTTACAGCTGATTTTTTAGCTCCGATAAAGTATATTCTTTCACCTTGTTTTTCTTCTACAAATATTAAAAATTTTCTAAATAAAAATATATTTCAGTTTTATCTTGTTTGTTTACTTTTTTTATACATTTAGAGCATGAAGAAGAAGTTGATGAACCGTTATATGAATCAGCTCCAGTCAAAGCCAAAGATTGTCAATATCAATAAATTATTGAAATTGATTGCTGTTGCTCTACCAAGTGGTAATAAATTGGTTAAAACAGCAAAACGATTAATTGATTTGTGTCACGAACAACCGACTTTTACTGAAACAATAAAATGTATTCAATGTTTGAAAACAATTGATAATAACAATCATTGTTCATCATTGTGTACAAATTATTATTCTCAACGTACCACAAACAATGTAATAGAATTTTTAATGGCGAACGATAACCATCTTATTCAAATACCCTAGTCGACCGATCTTACTGCAATTCTATAGAAATCTTATAAGAATCTTATATAAGGCAGTCGATGGAAATGCGTAATTTATTGATAACATTCTTATAAGAAGGAATATAAGAATCTTATAAGATTCTGATAAGAATTCGGTAAGATAGATTATATAATTATTTTATAAGAATTCATAAGATTTTGGTAAGAATCTTATAGGAAGGGTATAGTACAATTTCATCACATTCTTTAGTGATCAGTACTCTATATTCTACTTTCTTACTATAATCTACTGTTTCATACGTGAATAAAATAATTTTCTTTCCACTTATTTAATTTTTCTACAATAAGACCTTAGTCCCACACGGACAGTCTCATGACTTGTCCTCACTGTCTACTGCTTGTAGACTGAACTTACTTCCACAAATCTATCATGTTTTTTTTTTTTTTTTGTTCGCACGCATCTGACTCGTCACTGCGGCTGTGAGTTTTGGCACGAGAGGTCTAATTAAATATATGTTTAAAATACACGAAAATGAATGAACATTACTTCAAAATATCAGAAAAGGAAAACAGCGAACACATGGTTGAACATAAAAACCGAGTGAATGAACAATATAACAACGTATAAAACACAGTGGGGGAACACAGTGCTATCCCCAAGTACTGCAGAATAAATGACCAAATAGACAAAAACAAAGAATAACTTTGAAAAGTGCTAACTAAACGAAAGATCATTTCCTGGGTATGAGGATACGAAACAGACACGAAGTTGCTGCAACGAATGTAAGATTTAATAAAAATTAAAGACTATGATCACGTGCGAGGAATAGCAAGAAGAAGAAATATTTGCCGAAAACTAATATAAAAACTTAAATAAATTCTTAAACAGGTTTACTCAATCTTGCATTCTCTACGAAATTATTTTTGGAGAGAAGAGAGAGGCTGAGGGCCAGGTTTACGAATCACGTTAAAAGTCATCATACTAGTTAACCATTGTCAAAGGGGAGGTGATTCACAGATGCGAGAAAAAATCTCGTCACGATCTGATTATTTTTCCGGGATTTTCCGAAAAGGACTGCATTTCGAAAATCCCATATTGTTTTAATGAAATTTCCAATTTGGAAAATTATATTTTTACGTTGTGCCACAGTGAGATCATATGAGAGGATTTTTTCAATGTAAACGATTTGACTCGTTTCACGCTCAACAGACAC